ATCCATAACTGTTTATCCAAAATACATAAAACTTCTTGAGTGGAATACCTTTATTTTGGTATTTTAGATCGTAATCATATTGCATCTCTGTTAATACAGACCAGTATGATGCTCCTCTCCTCTTTGTCAACAGGACAATCTATGAAACTGTGCTTTGAAACCATGGGAAATTCTAAACCATATAAGGTGAAATGTCGTGAATCATCCAGTTAGTAGCATGGTACTGGCCCAGAAATAAAATACATTCTGTTAGAACAGAAATAAGGTTGCTGGCTAGAGGAAAGGTTGGCAGATTTATAGACAGCATAGATCTAGCATAGTAAAAAGATCTCTGGGAAACTGAAAGCCTGCTCAGTTAGCTCCCATACAGTTAAGCACAACACCCTGATACCTGGAAGTATTAAACACTTGCAAGATTTGAAGCCAACTTTTTTTTACCAAGCATAGAGATATTTAAAAACTATGTAAAGAGAAAGGCTGGGATACACATAGCAGGGAATCTCTAACTGCTATTTATTGTTTTGAAAGATTTTTCCCACTGGAGTGGAACCTGGATGACAAGTAGCCAAGAGCTGACATCAGAAAAAAATAACAAAACAAAATTTGTCACTGCCAAGGTACAGCTTCCCTGGACATGAGGCTTGACAGGAATTCTGCAAGTTCATGACCAGCATTTCACCACAGTGAACTTCAATTTTCAGCACATTCCTGCTTCTCCACATCCAAGGATCACACCAGCTTGTGGACAAAGCAGGCCAGAAATTTGCAACCTGTCTGCAAAGGTTGTGACTAACAAAGACCAGGATCTAGTTCACCCATGACAAAGATAGGCAGTGGCTGGAAGAGGTCCTTTGGAGAGGACCACAACATGTACATGTACATGTGAAGAATGGGGGATGGTAGTCAATGCTTGTAGGAGACACAATGTGAAATCCTCCATATGCCATCTCCAGGAGAAAAGTAAAGCAAGGAAAAACCACATTATAGTAATACAGGAGCTCTTATGCTAAAGGCAACTGAAAATTTTGCTGTTCTGCTAGAAAACATCACAGTTTAAACATTAAAAGACCACAAGAGGACACTATGGTGCCACTTATCTTCAACATTTATTTACTTTAAGGAACTTCTGCTTGACTTGTAAAATTGCTTATAACTGTATTTGATACACGGAATAACCATTTATAAAAAGATACCTTAATTTCATCTTTAGAAACTGAAAAGTCTTTTAGATATCTTTTTTTCCTACTCAACAAGGTTCTGTAAATTCAAATAAGAACTGTGTCAAAGTTTTCTACAACAAACTTTTTAAACACTGCAGTAATTTTTTGTGTAGAATTCAGATGCTGGGAAAAATACTACTCAGTGTTTTATTGTTGTTTTTTTTTTTTATCTTTTTTTAAAGGGTCAATTTTCAGATCAGTTACATTTTTAGCATGGATTGGTTTGTCATGGTGTATTTAATTTTTAATAAAGGGCTCAGAGAAAAAAACTGAGCACAGGCCTAGATGAGATTCTTTAGATATTGAGTTTAACTACAGGACACTCAGGGAAATTAATCCAAATGGATTTTTCAAACTCTATGAAGCTTTTTTTTTCAAATGTTTGTATTCCAGACTAAAGGGACCTTCTTTTGAATTGCCTGACAAAACCTGTATTAGCTTCAGTTTTAATCTCAGATATTTTGATCTTTATTTTGTTTCTCAGCAACAACCCTTGGAGGACATTGAATTTTTGCTTCCTGAGCTCTGTACTTTCCTTTCATTGCAGAGTTGGAGAAAGAAGTGCTTTATGAAAACATATAGACCAGGTGCTGACAATGGGCTTCAGAGGAAAATACCAGATATAGAGAGGAAAGAATCATCCTAATGGAGTTTACAAAACCATTTGGGGAGAAGCAACAGAAACAGAGCAAAATGAAGTGCCCTCTCACCTGAGTTATAATTGTTGAGGCCAGAGCCTTGATTAAAACCTGCAACATTTCTCTGATGTAAGCTAAATGCGGATCTTTGTTTACTTTGCTTTTGCTTCCCCTCCACTATTTGTTGACCCATGAGAGAAGCAACTGACCAAGTAAAAGAGGGGTTGGTTGTTGCTTTTGCTCTGAAAAAAAAAAAAAACAAACAAAAACTTCACAGGTTGTAGGAATTTCTCAAAAAGTGCAAAAAAAAGTGCAGACACTGTGGAAAGAATTGACACCATTGCAATGAGTGCCAGGAAGCAGAACAGGCTACAAGCAGCTCATCTGGTAATACTGGACTAAGCGACTGAGAGGTTCTGTCTCAGTCACCGAAGATCCTGGACATTTGTGAAGTACAGAAATGGAACAAAAATGCTTCCCATTACCACAAATTTTGGTTTTCCTCTATTTCCTTCCCATTTCCTAATGAAGTTATAAATAAACATGAAGGTTAGTAAAAATCTCTGGTTTCAGAACATAAAAAAAGTAAAATTATAGGAGAACCAAAACAACCATTCCCATCTCAAGTTCTTCTACATCGGTGTAAAGTTTGTAGGTAAGGTAGCAAGACAAAAATCAAGACCAGATTAAAAAAAAAAAAAAAACAGAGAAACAATTCTTGAAACACTGAATCAAGCTTTCCAGAACAGTTCAAGAAGGGTTATCCAGCATCACAGTCTGTTCTGAAAATAGTTCAGCAGATCCACTAACATATTGCTCTGGGTCTGCAAATTCAATCCAACAAATCTTGAGTAACTGAAAGTCACTGTTAGTGGGAAGACTCTTTGGGTTATTTAATTTTTTTTTTTGTTGTTGTAGTTTAGACTTGTTACATTTTCAGAATTTGAAACAATTTGATCATTTCCATGTATATAAATCCAGAGAAGAACAAACAGAGCTGCTGCTTTCAATAGCAAATGGAAGAAATCCAAGTTGTTGCAGTCTCACTTTGCTTTTTCCCTCCTCCCCTCCCCTAACACTGAGCACAGTTAACCCAATCACTGACACGGTCAGCAGGAAACTCATCCCTTGACAGAGTAAAACAGTTTGCAGCTAGACCAGTTCCCTGAACCAGCATACTATATAGTTACACAAACACCAGTGCTGTCTCAGGGGACAGGGAGACAACATGCAGCCAAGAAACAGAGCAGGAGTGCAAGCAGAGCAGCCAGAGCTGGCATAAACTGCTGTGGCACTGCAGAGGGGAGAAGGATGTAATGATACCTGGCTTTTCAAAGTTGGTTCTGTGGAGCAGATGCCTACTGAACCTCATGTGTGATATCAAGCAAAATTAATAAACTTATATTTTTATAAGTGGTTAGACCTAATGCACAATGTTTGCTGAACTTGAAACATAAAAATATGCTGACATGTTGTTTGAGCAGCTAAATGGTATGCAAGAAGGAATGTTGATGGTAAGCAGTGGCACCACTGGGTAGTCTATATCCACTGTAAAACATGCAGGAGTCCTTCCATGGCCCAAACAAGTCACCTGCTGGGTAGAAGTTGGACATAGGAATTGAACTACTCAGATCTTACAGAACAGGTTTGCTGTATATGTTATACCATGAATAGACTTTGAAGGTTTGGTTTCTAGCATCACCACTTGCCCAGATGAGACAACTGGGAACTGAAATAATTTACTTCTCTGGCTGCTACAGTCCATTAGTCTGAAAAAGGATAGTACTGAGTCCTGACGTCAACCTTTTAGAATCAAATCAAGAGTCTGCATCAACATTATGCCTGTAATTTTTGGCTGTTCATATCACACATGTAAAAGCACGAGCCTTTGATTGATTAAGATGCCTTGAATTTTGGGTCTTATTTAGAAATTCAGCCTAAGGTACCTGATAGTACATAGATTTTAAGATTTACAGAAATAGCCGTAAATATTTTCAGAATTCGTGTTAGCACAACTTGTTATTTAGAAGAGGTAAATCATGGCTTGCATTGTTTCTTTTGGCAGCCAACAAAGCCTATGACAAAGTTCGTATCTCAGTTATATCTGGTACTTCACTGATACCACCAGCCATAATAGAATCTGCCAGCTGAGCCAGCATGCGTTCGAATTCCCGATGCAAATGGCTGTTATTAATTGGTGCAGGGCAAAGGCATTCAATTGCAGGATGAATCATCCTCCCCTTTGGGAGGCAGAAAGCAGATTGCAATCGTTTAATGCTTTACCTGTCACAAATGCACTGTTCTGACTACTACTACAGGTTGCTGTCAGTAGGACTGGAGACACTACGCTCAGAGTGAAGGGTAACTGTAGTTTTTCTGAGAGCAGTCACAGCCGCGTCTTACGTGATTTTACTTTTGAAATTAAATTCTAATGAGATGCCTTTCTACCATGTTTCAAGCTGCGTGGTTTTGATCGTTTAAGAAAAATAAACCAGCTGCATCTATTAGATAAGCTAGATAATGTGCATAATCAGTGCACAAGATCCCAGTTCTTGATGATTTTGCCCTCTGATATTGTTTCACACAAGCAGCTAATTTGAAGCATTCTGAATTAACATTGTAATTAGTAATGGAAAAGAGACTTCTAGATCATCACACGTGTGAGAAATGCTGTGAGGCAGAGGGTATTCTAAACTTGGTGCAGACAACCTGGCTAGTTCCCCATAAGCCTTGTTTTCCATGGCTTGACCATGGGAATTGCTGCAGGTAACACACCATAAACTCACTGCAGTGACTGAGTCAGCCATGTTCCCTTTCCATAGGCACTTGCTTGGACAGGTTCAGCAGTATCTCAGTTTAGATGAGACTGACTGCCTACATCCAGGATGCTCTAGGTTTAAACCTCCCTGACTTTCTCCTGCCTTCCAGGGAGGGGGCTACCTTCCCTCTGAAGAGTCCTCATGATACTCTGGCCTTCTTTCTGCAGCAGAGTTGCATGGTTCTTTTAGGGCTTCATGGACTTCTGAACATCTACATTGTTTGTGATATTACACCAGTATCCATACACAATTTTAAACAATATTTTATTTAAGTTTCCTGTCTGTTTTGCCACAAGGTTACCAATTACTCATAGCACAAAGCAGTCAAACAAATAAGTGCAATACATTATAGATAAGACAAGTCATATTATCTGTATCTTTAAGAAAAGCAATATATATTTTTAATCTATGCTGTAGCATGAAGAAAAAAAGAGTAAAAATTAGCAGGCAGTAAAGTGACAATATAGTATAAAGAAAATAGCTGGAAGGAATAAGGAAGCATCTTACATTTCAAGTATTGAATGAAGCAACTATCAGAGTACTAGTTCTATGTAAAGGGATCATGGATGGCTGTTTTCCAATCGCTTATGAACCTATTAGAAGAAATGCTCATGGGAAGTAAACATTCCCTATTTAATTCATCATTTACCAGTAAAACAAGTTCTGATGCCAGTGAAGCAGTATCAGGAAGGCCAGGCTTCTGAGTCAGTGCAGTAATTCCCCTTTCTAGATGCATAAGAAGGATCAGTATTTATTGAGAAACTGTTCTTAAAAACTTGGCTTCTATGCAACTAGATTGTTCAACACAATTTGTAAAGAATTTGGTAAGTGACAGGAGTATATTCAAAATATACTTATCAAGGAGACCATCCTAACAAAAGAATTAATGAAGCTTCATTTTGAATCATGAAAGAACAGGGTTCTTCCGGAAATCCTACTTTTACATGGAATGCAGAAATGGATGGTAGGAACCGTCTCAAGTGACTCTAGAAAACAACTGACTTGCTGGTTTTCCATTCAGCTCATGCTTAGCCTTCTCTTTCTCTTTCCTTAGCCTTTCTCTTCCCTTTCTCTTTCTAACACAAAGTTAGATACTTTGTGTGTTTACAAATACTGCCCTTAGATCAGCAGGACTTTTATTCTATACTATTCTATTAAATTCTGTAGATTTCATATCAGTAAATAAAAGGAAAAAATCACATTTAACAGCAAGCACTATGAGAAGGCACTTACCAGCAAGCAGTGGGAACTGACCCTACAAAGAGTTTGTGCTGCCATCCTATAATTTCATCACAGATTTCAGTATATTTGATTGAAATGTCAGTTTTTAGCCTACCAAGAATAGGCCTATCTCAATATATACTCTTCTCTATAACAGTAGCTTCTAACCTCACATACCTTGTGTATTTGAAAATGTGTTCCAAAGGCCAAAACAGCAGAAGATTTATAATAAAAAGGCCTCTTCCTAATCTCATGTCTAGGAATCCACTGGCAATGGTCTGATTTTAGCCAGCTAGAATAAAAATGAAATAATAAAACCTGTTACTGATAAGGATAATTGTTTAAATGAGAAAAAGACTTCTGCAACCCTCTGACTATCTGGAATTCCTTCTTTGTCCTGGGTTGTTCTTGTTATCATCTTCATGAACATGCAGCAAACAGCAGTCCCCAAATTACAGAAAACTATCTACAACATTGCCTGTTCACCTGTACTTGAATACAGGAGATCTACTCCCACCCTTCAGTAACTCTCCAGTTGCCCACTGTCCTGGTCAGGGTTCAAAAATAAGAGTTTAGTACTGCAGGATGGATCTCTAAAACTAGTGGTAGGCATGAAACCCAAATCAAAATAGCCTTGTCTTCCATCTTGTCATCTTAAAAAACAAAACAAAACCCCAAGCAAACAAAAAAAAATCTCTCTTCTCCATATAGGGTGGTCTCCTCTGAGTAAGTTATCACCTATTGAAGAAAGTTGTATAATTTAAGAAGAAGTAATATCTGAAAATATCTTGGCATATCTGTCTTAATCATAATCTCTACTTCCTGTGTGGAACTGCTGATTCTGTACTCCAGTATTTATACCAAGTGCCACAATACGGATGCCAAAACTATATGTTGTGTATTACAGAATTCATTAGATCTGGGTACATTCTATTAACAGTGTTGGTCCTGGTCTAGCCAAGAGGATACAGAATTTATAACTTCAAATTCTAAATGCTTTTGATACATCTTTTCAAGTTTACAGGTGAATTTGTAGAAATTATATTGAAAATTTAGTATAAAGCTATACTTATGCATTAACAAAATGCAAAAAAAGATAACTAGTTGCATTGCAAATTACTCCATAAATCTCTCTCTAGACTCCATAGATGTTATGATTCATAATACAGCACTAAACATGATACAAGTGTCAGACTAAAGGGTTGTGCCACAGAAGGAAATGCAAAGGACCTGGCTGGCTCAAGCCGAGGATTACGTAGGTCGAGGCGACAGGAATTTTGTACTTCTTGTAGAGTTTCACTTTCACCTATGTCCATTACTCCACTGATGTTCTGCACCTACAAAAATTCAAAAGGTTGCCCCTGAAAGCCAGACTGACGCAACACCAAAAGCTTTATGCAGCTAGCAAATTCAATGCTATTTCAAGTTACCCAACTCAAACTGTATTGCCAAACCACTTCTGAATGTGAGGAAATCAACATCATTATCCTGTTGTTTGCATTCCTATCAAACACTTCCCAAAATTCAGTACAGATACATTACAGGCAAGAGTTACAGGTCTGGCTGCTCTGTCTTGGCTCCCTCCCTCCACATATGGATGCATTAGCCAGTAAACCTTAAGCAAACAAAACCATGATCTTTCTTCCCTGAACTCTCAAGACAGGGTTTCAACATTTCTAATTTAGAAGGAAAAATAAAATTATTAAATCTCACAGATTGGAAAGGTGTGATGAATTTGAGCCTCTTCATAATGTCAGTCTGCCACCTGATGAACTTGTCATTATGTAGATATTTTGGCAGATTAACTAGAATAGTACAAATTTCCCTGATTTTTGTTCATCTAACGTACCTAGAAGGACAAGTGGAAGAAAGGCCACTGTGAAATATATGCTGTCTATAAGGCTTTGTGTATAATATCTACTTACTTATCACTGTAAATAAAAACAGCAGGAGGAAGCAGTCTGGAAATTTCAACAGAGGCATGTGAAAAAGTTACCACTGAGGGCGTCCTTACTCTTATATGGTCTCCTTCCTCATCCTTTTGGATTTGCTTCTACCATTTACGTTCGAAGCTCATTGTTATTTAGTTGTTGTGTTTATGGCCTGTTAGTGATCTGGTCGTGGCATGAGCCTTTTGGATAGCAGCCCAATCCCATGACAAGAATTAAATTGATTTGCAGGAGTCAACATTCCTTACTGCACCAGCGAACACAGCCAGACTGTGATGCTGGTACATCCGCAGTTTCTCCAAACCATGAAATGATTCTATTTAGAAGTCACTGATGTGGACTTATCAGATTACTGCAAAGAGAGAAACTTCCAAAGAGCTTTGTCTGCTCTCTCTCACTTTCCTTTATTCTGCTAATGCTCTCTTGCCATCTTGGTTTCTTTCCCAGCATTTGGAATTACTGAATTAGGTGCTTACATTCCCTCATATCTCTCTCACTCACTCAACAACAACAACAACAACAACCAAAAAAAAAAAAAAAAACCACAAAGAAAAAACCCACCCAAAAAAAAACAACAGGGCACCAACTGTTCCTCTCTCCCTCTTAGTAAGAATCAAGATTCAGTTTGGGTTTTAATCTTACATTTTCCACTTCCCTGAAGACACGGAGGAAGTTTTCCCTTAACACTCCTTTCAGTTCAGTTTCATTCCATCCTCTTCTAAGAAGTTCCTCAATCAAAGAAGGGTATTTAGAGACATCTTCCAATCCCTCAGGGAAACTGTTGGCAAAAGTCACACAAGAACATTCAACATGCATCACTGAAAAAATTTAGAAAAAGATTTTTAATTAGTCTTTTGCACATATTGACTTTTGGATTGAGCTCACTTTGGACCCAATTCTTCCTTTCAGAATTCAACTGACAAACAGAAGCAGGACTGGGACACAACAAAAGGTTTTTTCTGCACATAGGATTCCATAAACAGAACACAACTTGTATTCTGGAATGAAGATGCATAGGCATAATATATAAGCATGTATATGATGTATAGGCAAAACAACAGCATGGAAAGATATTAAAACAGAACAAAAGGAAAAAAAGAACCCAACAGAAACTCATGTGTGCATTAATCCACTCTTTATATCTGGCCTTTAGAGTAAGAGGAAACAGCTGCATCACAGATGGAGTTGGCACAATGCACCTGTGTAACAGAACGAAAGGAAACTTGCAAACACATGATGAGCAGAGGAGTTGCAGGCAATTTTGTAGACTTTGTTGGTTGCAAAGTAGTTTTTCCAAAGGGAATATAATTAGAATAATAATATTGGTTTGAATTCAGCCATTTAGGAAGTGAGAAGCAACCTATTTAGAGCCTTCTACTGAAGAAATTACAATAAGCAAAGTTGATCTATGTCTTGTGCTAATTCTTGTCAGAATAAAAAGAAATAGAAGTAAGAAGCTGCAAAACCTGCATTAAACAGCTGTTTAAAATTCTGTTTTCATGAGACTGTGACATTGTTTTGAGATAACTAATATTTTTGTTATTTTTCTGTTCTGTGGATGTGTGGTGATAAGCATATCTCAAGAAATCTGTACTACCAGGAGTTAGGACCTTAACCACTCCACCGCCAATTTGACTGATGATCTTTGAGAAAATGCATGCAATAAAATGTGTCCTTTTGTTGCAAACTGTGTTTTTATTTTGAACGTTACAGCTTCAGACCTATGGCTAGCTATCATGGGAGCAGACACACTGGATCTGTGATCATACTTTTCAGATGTGAGCCTGACTGACTTTCACTCCCAAGCATATCTGACCCCAGGAGAAGGAAAAAAAAAAAAGATGATGAGTAAACCAAAAGATAAAAAGAAAAAAAAATAAAATTTAGGGTTACACCAGCAAATGCCACCTAATCTGTATTTATTTCCCGTACTGTAACAACACTTGCCCAAGAGTGAGGAGAGGTTATGTAGGCTGTTCACCATTCTCTGCTTGCCTGAAATACTTCCCAAGCCCCAAAAGCAGGAGTGGTTTCACAGCACCAAAACACTTTGGGCTTTCCCCAAGGATAGTGGAGGAAAGAGTTTTGCAGCATCTCTCTAGGCTGACCATTTACCATCTAAAGGCTGACCATTTACCATCTAAAGGCTGAGGCAGCTTTTCTGTCATTTATCTTTGGCTTTTGGAGAAAAACAACCTCTATCACTGATTTTTTTATGCACAAAACACTGTCTAGAACACAGGATTGCAGAGTTCACAGGGCACTAGGATCCATTTCCACATTTGTAGCACTGCTTCATACAGTTCTATAAAGGAATCATTGTGCTCCTCTTTCATAAAACTTGGTTTAGCACTCATCACAAGAGAACTTGATACCATTCTTTTAGTCTGCCTTCTTTTTTTTTCCCTTAAATGAACAAAAACCTTCATAATTTAAGGAGGAGGTGTCAATGTAGGTATAATTTTACTAACCGTGCCACTCCATCATAGTCACCACCAATTCCTATCGATTCTGAACCTGCAATTTTCTTTACATGGTCAAAATGATCTGAAAGAAAATACCCAAGAAAACAACATCTTAGCATCCAGTAAAAGACAAATATTACAGTTCACACATATTGGAACAAGGCTGTTCACTTTGATTGTGGATTCTCAATCAAATCCTTTTTTAAAAAAGTCAAAAGATATCCCATCAGACAGCAATCTTCAAAATAACAGCTACACTGATGAAATGCAAATGAGGAAAGAGACATGATCATCACAGCATATTTGTTCCCAACAAGTAGCCCAATTATACCATCAGAATTTTCATTATTCATTACATACTTATGTTTTCTACTCTTAATTACATAGGCTTAAGGTGTTTTCCAGAAAGTAACAATTACTTTGGGATTAATGGTTCTCAGCTCCGTTTGTAAGCGTCATGTCCTCCAGCTACACTCACCTTGTACCTCTTGTTATTGTTTAATGAATATTAGCACCAAAAATACCTAGACTTTGGCTAAGGTGTGGAAGGAATAAACAAGCATTTTTTTATAACTTCAAAAATTATGCATACACCAGGAAATTCATAGAATTTGTATGAATTCATTGAACCGACAAAAACTACATTGACATCAAACCTGCAAGGGTAGAAATATTAACAACTTTTCTGCCACAGGCCAGTACATCTGCATTGAAAGTCACCATGATAATTCCCTTTTTCTTTTTCTGAAAGATAGGAAGAGACAAGTGATGAGTGAACACTCATGTGCCCTGCAAACCTCATGAGCTTCTTATATAGAACCTTCTATGTCCATCTGTCAGTGAGCACAGCAACACTCTGTAAGTCAAAGCTCAGATGGCAACACGAGGCTTTGCCTCCCTGCCCCCTTCCCTTGGGTTCATTATACTCTCACGTAGACTGAATCAGCAGAAGTGCAGTGCCTACATCAAACAACCAGAATTTCAAAGTATTTGCAAACACTTCATTTTTGTAGTCAAATACTAAAGACAACCCAAAAAAAATCTCTCAGAAGCAAATATGTTACCTGCTGCACAGGAATCTGCTTCTAAATCAAATTCAGAGATGAGAAGGTTAAAAGTAAACACCATGACTTGAATGCACAGGTTTGCCTCAGCTAGCCAAACATTGCCATTAAACCCAAACCCAAAACCCCCAAGAAGCAAGACCAACAACTAGTTCCCCTCAAAAAATGACAAAACAAAACCCAGAACGATATTGCTCACCAGTTGCTGGAGGATATCATCAGGGACATTTCTTGAGTGATTACAAATAGAAAATGCTGATGAATGGCTGAAAATTACTGGTGCTTTTGAGATACTCAGTGCAGCTTTTGCTGTGGAGTATGAAGTATGAGATAAATCTATCAGCATACCCAGGCGATTCATCTCCTTTACCACTTCCTAAAACAGATATACAGAAAACAGTGTCAGTATTAACTTTCCTAAAAGGAAACTGTTTAGCTGATATCTGTAAAGAGATAGACTAATTCTGCAGCTGTCAGCTAGTCGTAAGCATGCTATGCCAGTATTGGTTTCTCTGTACCTATTACTTTAATAGTAATTTATTCACTCACAATTAGCTAACACACCATCACATGTTCAAAACTTAGAAAACTTAGCCAATCTAAAATAAGTAATTTGAACTGTTATTCACATCTCACTGATTCCACATATGAATTCATACATCTGATCTGAATTAAAACATTTTTCTAAATAAATCTAATGCTTCTTTTACCCTAAAGAACATCACAGGGAATTTGGTTTGACTGAGCCCCAGTCATCTCCTAACTATCAAGAACTTCCAGTAATTAATTTTTAATGACAAGTTGCTTTTGAAAAGATAAGGCCAGAAGTTGTTAGTTGCATGACAGATTGCCCAGATTAGCATTTGAAAGAGATTCTTACTTGGCCAAATGGAGTCAGACCAATAACATTAGGATAAAAGTTGTGTATTCCTTTAGATGATGATTCAGACCTTAAAAAAGGGAGTGAGGGAGGAGAAACATCATATTATTATGGAGACTACAGTGTCAGCAACTGAAATCTCTTACCCTACACACAATAAAAATGTTTACCATATCATATAGCCAAATGTGGAGATAATGAGCTACGTAATAAGTATCTTGTTTGGGCAGTGCTTTTTTTTGTTCATAACTGTTTTCAAGTTCATGAATGTTGATGTTTGTGAAGCAATGCAGGACAAGCAGAGAGGTAATTGTCAGAAATTTTCTGATTAAACAATCTTCCATGAGAGAACAAAGAGACACTGCAATGTTAGTTACCTGTCTGCCCTCTGTATGCAATTTCCCTGTCTCTCAGTAAGTGCAAGAAAGTATTTTGTCAATCCAGCAAAGAGTAGGTGCTAATATTCTGATACAGGAACTAAATACCTATCTCTGTAGTGCCATATGGGACCTGCACTTTTGAGGTGGCCAGAGAGGGCAGTGTTGAAGGCTGCTGACGGCTGAGTTCTTACATTAGCATTTACACTCTTTTATCTACATCATATGCATTTTTAGTACTTTTCTTTTTGTCTTTTTTGCCCTATGTAACTTTCCTAATATAGCAAAGGAATAGCAAATTTACCATCTTTATGCTGTTAACAAGTTTAAAAGTGTCCAACTGTCATCATTACAAGCCCTACATAACAGATGTAGTCTCCCACTTGACACATGGCAAATGATTTATCCCCCAAACCTATCATCCTTGACTTGGTTCAGAGTCTTTCACAGGTTAACTTTGTGTCTGAATCCATATTTCTCCCATCATGGAACTGCCACTCCTTTACATTAGATAGACACACAAAAAAAAGCACATTAATTACCAAGGCGTATTGCAGGAATGTGTTAAAGTCATATAACGAACACCCAAGTCATAATACATCCTCAGCGTTGCCAAACTGCTGTCAATGGAGTGGCCACCTTCTATTCCAATCAAACACGCAATCCTTCTACTTTCAGAGATACCTGGAAACAAAAAAGGGAGATAATTCCAAAGTAATATCATGACAGATAAGAAGACAGCACTACTGAGCAGCAATTGTTTTTGGAAATTGCAAGCAACGATACTGACATTTTCACAGAATAGGAGCTTATAGTAGTACATGTTTATCTGGCAAATATTCACATTACTGCAGTGGACCTGGATGGTGCACAGAGTCCATCGCTGCAGCCCAGTGGAAAAGTTGAGGTAAAGTTTATCCTTTAAAGCAGGATAACTTGCCTGCTTGCAGGTCTCTGTCTTTTGTACTACCTCCTGCAATCACATTTTCACAAATTCTTTTACAAGAGCGAGCATCACCTTGGGAAGTTGTCACAAGTTCCAGCTCTTCGTAGCTGTTACACATCCTCTTGACAACATCAATTTGCTCTAAAGTCAGACGCACAGCATCCTTATTCTGAGCGCTGCAAAGAACATACACTGACCAAAACTGAAAGAGACGTTGACAAGTAAACTAGATAACTTGTGTTTTGACTTGGAAACTTCCATTTGCTAATAGTTCATGGGCACAGACCAAAATAACTTCCGGCAGTTTACAAGGGAGTTGCCACTATAGTTTTTCCCCAAAAGAAGACTTATGATGCAAGACAATAGCATCTACTCCAGACGTGACTAAAGCCTCCTGACACACTCAGCTACTCCACAGTACATGCAGGAAAGCAGATGTGAGCTTCCTTTAATTTATATATCACAAAACAAATGCTGCTGTTTTGACTAACGGTACCTGAATTATAAAACACAAACTCTTGAAACACAAATGTTATGAAACAGTGTTGGGGGCTTTTTGGTTTTATTGTATTTTTCTTTTTCAACATAAAGAGCCAAAATCAAGGCCAGGAGTACTTGTGTGATTGGGAAGGAGGCAAATATAAAAATATGATCTCAGACTCACAACCATGGCAGTACATACCTGAGCTCCCACATAACCAGCCTGAAGTTTCACAAGGTTTGTGTGGGTCTTGTTGAGTTCTCTTAAGTTGACTCTACTGATTCTATTTTGGTAAAGTATTCTCAGTTGCAGTACAAAGTCATTGTGGCTAGAATCAAAAACAAATTGGGCTTGTGATAGAAATAAGATGTTCCCTTTCTAAGCCAAATGTAATTTCTTCCACTTCCCTTAGACCATTAATTGCCAATAATCCTTGCAGCAATAGATGCTTAAAAGTCTCCCTTCTTTTCTGCCTTTTCTACTTCTCACCCCACCCCACCAGTGAGCAGGTTGGGGGTGTACCTTACATTGGGAAGGGACACAGCTGAGAAAGCTGACCCCAGCTGGCCAAAAGGATATGCCAGACCGTATGGGTCATGCTCAGCATATAAAGTTGGGGAGAAGAAGAAGGAAGGCAGGGGACATTCAGAGTGGTAGTGTTTGTCGTCCCAAGAAACCATTATGCTTGATGGAGCCTTGCTTCCCAGGGATGGCTGAACACCTTAGTCATGGGAAGTAGTGAGTTAATTTCTTGTTTTGCTTTGCTTGTGTGCGCCTTTTGCTTTCTGTATGAAACTGTCTTTATCTGAACCCACGAGTTTTCTCACTTTTCTGATCCTCTCCCTCAGAGGGGCAAGTGAGCAAGTGGCTCTGTGGGGCTTAGTTGCCAGCTGGGGTTAAAGCATGACACCTGACCAGAAAATCACAAAGGTATTTAGAATAACCCAGTCCTATAGTAAGTACCCTCTGACCCAAAATTCCTTCCCAATACATCATTGCAACAGGAGCTAAGTGCTATATGCTAGTAACAACCTATGTCTCTACTGATCCAGACACACTTCAGCATTTCCTCCTCACTTATCAGGATTCACAAAGAGGGTTTAGTTGAACATGTTTTATATACCCATCGATTAAACGTGCATCTTGCATCAGCTCAATAGCTCTTTCTCTCATTGATTTCTCATAACTTAATGGCACAATATCAAAAAAGAACATCAACAGCCACAACAACTTTGTTGTGTTTCTCTTCATTTCCATTTTCCAGTTGGCTAAAGCAAAGAAATACCACAGTTATTCGCTGATGACAATGAAACAGCAAAATTTGCAGTCTGTGGAGGCTGGAGAGCCGAAATGCCTCTCCTTCTGGTAAGGCTGGTGTGAATTCTAGAGTAGGAAAGAAAAAGAAAAGAAATAATAGTAAACAGAAGGGAAGATAGCATTGGAAACTGTGAAATCGCCACCTTCTCCCAAAGATTTTAAGATCGTATAACCATTCCTTAAACTCTGCTGCTACCTCCAGCTTACTGCTGAAGAGAACCAACTCCTCAGTCATAGCTGGCAGAGTGAGCCTGACACACCCTGGACTCGGACCTCCCAAAAAGCCAGAAATGAACTGCTTCCAAGTAAGCTGTCTTCTTAAAACAAACAGCACATCAGAGTATTTTCAGAGGAAAGCTATTGAAATCTAACACTTTCCCAAACCTTATCAAGGACAATATGTGCCAAACTTAAAAGGGTTACTTTATTTCCATGAGGAAATGGGTATGACAACAACTTCAAGAGTAATCAGAGCACCTCCTGCACTTTTTTAAATACAGTACTCAAACACTTGGACAACAGTCTTTCAGGTGTCAGTAAAAAAGCATTTTTCCAAACAGATTAGAAATAACTCCTGTTCTATGTAAAGTAAGTGTGAGATCTGCTAGGAGGTGAAAATACCTTTGCAGATAAAAGATGAGTTCACCCCCACCCCATTCAGAGTTATTGGCAGCATTTGCTATAAAGCTGAGAAGCACTTGCCTTCATTCATGGGAGTGACATCCTAATTCAAGGCAAGTACCCTCAGGGAGGACAGAGCTATAATGAAGCAGGATGGCCATATCTGCCATATGAGGATGCAACGATGGGAGTTTGCTCTTGCAAAATAGATAGATTTTAAATGAAAATTTCGCGGTAAAAAAAAAGAAAAAGAATCTTTTTCTGCATTCTTCTGTCATTTACCATCTTTGGAACTATGGGCAAGCTGCCTGGCCCCTCCTCTCCTTTCCAGCAGGCAGGCCAGACCTCAGTGCAGAAGGTTCAGTAAACAGCTGCTATTTAAGTGGAGCAAATCTCAGTTAGGAAGGGCATTCCTTTCATCTCATTTGAAGTCCTTATTTTCCATCTTATTTTGTATTAAAGTACTTAACAGCCATTACATTAATATTCAAATTTGTTGAATTATTGTGCCAAATCAAATATACAAAGTGCAATAAAATAGAGCTCACTGCTCAAGATAGTAACATATCCTGACGAATGAAGAAGGTTCATCCCCTCCATAGTCCAGTTATGCTGAGATCTTGTTGATAATCCTAGTGTAGCTCTGAATTACCTACTTCAGAACAAGGCAGCAGCTTAGTTGCAAGAGCACAGAGAACAATAAGTGACCAGAACCCTAGGTAAAACTTCCTTGCTGACCACGGGCAAAAGCATGGATTCTCCCTATTCCTGAAGTAATAATTAAATCTAATTAGTAAAACATAAATATTAAACATACTTTTAGGAGCAGAACACATGCATCATACTATGAAGTATATTTTTGAGGAAATATACTGAAATATATATATATATATATAAAATATATATACACTTTGAAATTCACCTTGTCATCAGGATAGTCTCTCAAATATTTCTCAGTTTTTGCTTGAAATTCTTTCTGCCATCACCAGCTCTAAATCATCATTCCTGGCATGTCAGGTTTATCTGTTCTCCTGCTTGGAAACCACCTTAGTGCTGTATTACAATTCATAGTTTCCAACCGGCTATTCCTTCACTGCCTATGCAAAGATGTAATGAAGTGCCACCAAGCAATGAGAAAACACGGTGCTGTTAAAGTTATTGCTTCAAACAGTGATAAAAGGAAATAAATACAGTAATGTTTGGAAGGCATTTCAGGATCTCCAGGGAAGAGAAAAGAACAAGCAGGATAGCTTGCCCCAAACTTCCTGGGGAAAAGGAATGCCCTAGAGTTAAGTACAGTATTTCTATACATAGACAAAATATGTTGCCCACATTTTCCAAATTAAAAGAACACTTTGTTTTCTTCCAGTCATGCCATACAAAGGAAAGACTTTGAGAAACAGTGATTCCTAGAAACACAACCATCCTCAAAATCCTTCCTCAGATAGGAGTTGTAGGAATAGGTGTGCTTTCAGAAGAGTTTGTAACACGAAGGTCGAACTCATTTCACTTAGGAAGCCTTTTTTCCTTTTCCCTTCTGCATTTCAGAGAAAGTTGCAGAGAGAGCTGTGAGTGAGATCTCTCTCTCTCTCTGGAATGCCGAAGAGATAAGGTTCCTTCGCAGACATGTACAGGGCCTCCTCGAGCCAGAGGGCGGGGAAGAAAGAGAGAAGATGAAAAGTGCTGAAAGAGCACTGGAACTTGCCTTTCCCCTGAGGCCCAGTGCTGTCTTGGGGCACTGTGAGGTTTCTGTAAGTTTTTAGTGTCCTTGCCTCGGGAATAAACCTTTTTTGAATCCTTTCCACTGCTTTGGCATTTTGGGGGGAAAATACCTGTGTATATTTACTTTACAGGAGTACAGGCTTAGAAGTTTTTCTTTCATACATATACATCAGAAATATGCATGCATTGTGAGACCCAAAAACTTTAATGGAACACGACTTCTACAACACTGTAAAGATTAGAGACCAGTAAGAAGTTGTTTCTTTTTTTGCTTTGTGGCAACCATAGAGATTTCCCTCAAATGTCAAAGCACAAACACAGACTTACCCTTTTACCACAAATGCAGACTTTGTTATCACAGTGAAAAAAAGTGCCATGTATCTCTAATCTAGAAAATGTTAAATTTGTTTGTGGTAGCTCAGCATGCAAAATGTTAAAAAGAAAAGGTAAAAAAACCGCCCAAGCAACAGAATTCTAACAAGTTAGCACCACAAATGTAAATTAGTTTTTGTAGGCATGTTTTGGTTTCAAATTTCTCAAACCAAAATGCAGGTCAGATCTGCAACCTGAGTCTCCAGAACTCAGCCAAATCCCAACAAAACAACTCCAAAGGGAAAACTAAGATTTTACATCTTATTATCTGCTACTGGCCTTGTATGGGATAACTGCTATTCCAGAAATCCACATAATTTGTCCGTTCAAAATTCTTAATGAGAAAGTAGAAAAATTTGTCACATAATAAGACTGCTCTGACGCTATAAAATCTGCTACACATTGTAGATTTTGGTTCAAATATTTACTGTTTTTCAATCTGTATGAAGTCCATAGCAATTTTCAGGAAGAATTTCAAGCAGGAACTGTACCTACATGTTCTTCAAGTGGTTTGGCTACTAAAAGAAATTAAACTTATCCATACATTACCAAATCTCTATTCTGTCTATATTACAAAAATGCAAACACTACACAAAAATAAGAAGACAGTATATTAGCACTCCTGTTTAAACAACATTTAAAATACAAAACCCGCACAGCTTTTTTCCATCTTGACTGAGCAGAGTTAAAAAGTGGAAGTTAGCATTACATTTATAGCTTTTTGTTTGTTTGTTTATCTAAAGGCTCCTTGGAGCAGTTTACCTTCTTAGGATAATGCAGCTGAGTCGAAATCCACATTCCACTGTGTTGGATCCAACAGTTAAAGCTTGGCACCAAGTCTGCCTGGCATCAGAGCAGCAAGGAAGAAACGTCCTCTATTTCTTTAGCTCATGTCACATCACAGGCTTCACACACAACAGGCATTTGGAAATTGCCCCTCTCAGAGAGGCAAGGTCTGTGAACGAGCTTTCAGCTCCACCCACGTGGGAACCCACAAGCCTAGTGCTGTGCCGTGTTCGAAACCAGGCATTTCCTCCCTCTCGTGGCAGCCTGACTGTGCAGTCCCTAGTACAACTGTTCACTAACAGATGAGGTATTTAAAATTACTCTGTTTATATTGTTCAAAAATAGGCCCCTATTAACACAGAGTAATTAAGGTTGGAAATGATTTCTGGTGGGATGTCATCTAGCTCAGCCACCTGATCCCAGGTAAGGTAACTTCAAAATTAGATCAGGTTGCTCAGGCCTTCATCCAGTGGAAGCTTTGATGTCTTCAAGTAAAAAGATTATACAAACTTTCCAGGCCCCTGTTTTAGTGCTTGCTCATTCACACTGACTATACCTAAGCCAATAAATATCTGCCTCTTGTTACCTATACCTGCTGTATTTTAATCAGGACTTACAGTGCCATTGTATGATATTTGTAAAGGTCAAAATGTTTACAAGGTACAGGTGACCTTTTAAAAGATATTTATGTCTCTGAACCTACTGGGGATTTCCACTTCCTCTGTGGGAGCTGAAAGTTTGGAAACAAAGAAATCTGTGCAAAACCATGATGCTAAATTTTCAGAAGAAGTAAGGTTTGCTGATCGTAATTATTATTTCACTTCATATTTTGTACAGAAAACCAAAAGGCATCATGCTTCTGTTTATGATTTGATTGCAGAGAAATGACCAAGTCTCATGAGCAAATCTCCCACAGATCTGTTGCGCAAGTCATGTCTTAACTGGAACTATATTCATCATCAAGCCTCTAGTTCCCGCAGGGCGCGCGGCCCGCCCGGCCCCGGAACGCGCGTGCGCGGCGGCGCGGGCCCGGCCCGCCCCGGAACGCGCGTGCGCGGCGGCCCGGCCTCGGGCGCTGGGGCCCGGCCTCGGGCGCGGAAAGGACCGAGAGAACGGGGGCTTCGCCTGTGCGGACAGTGCCATGGTGGGAGATGAGAGGGGAGCCCCGAACACACAGAAGAGAAGGACAGCTCTAAACCCGGGCAGCTGGAGCTCAGCTGTAAGGCCATCCATCGAAGAGAAGGTCACTCTAAACAAGCCTACGTCCTGAGGACCTCGCTGCAACCGTCCAAGCTCACTCGGCCCCGGCAGATGAACCTTAGGATTAAAGGGTGGGCTCAGTTCAGCGCACACTGTGTCTCACCGATAAAATCCATTGCGCAGGCTCGAAGGCCTTACCCGCATTTGCGAAGTCCTGTATCACCAGCGCGCTTGTAATAAACGTGGGTAGAGACCTTTCCCAAATCTTCGTTCAAGAAGACTGGCCATGAATGAATGAATGAAAGTTCCCACAAATTGGAAAACTTAAACAGAAACCCCCACGTCACTGGGAATTCTGCTGAACTTTGCTAATTTGTTGAACTTCAGTTATAAACATTTATCATTCACTCCAGTGGTCTGAAGAACCCCTGAGCAATACAAATGAAGTGTCAGGAGAAAAGACAAATATTTTCTCTATTTAATCTGAAGCTTGATCCAGGCCAGAGGCATTTTTATGCCTATGGCAGGAAACTATCTTCCATATTTCATTTAAAGCAGCAATTAACTGGTTCAGATTAATTATCCATTTGTAGCCTAGCTCATGTTTTATTGTTCATTTTAAACTTTTCAGATTCTCATCCTTATCTTTCAAAGTAAGTAAATATCACATAACCATCATTGCTTGCAATTTATTTTTCCCATTTTCTGAATTTTCTCTCCTTGCAAGGTCAAGTTTAATCTCTGATCTGATTTCTATCTAAAACACTATGTTTCTGCATGCCTGCAGAAAAACTAAGCTCACCAACTCCTCGTTTAGGAACAGTTTTTGCTGAGCCACTAAGCTCCTTCTTGGACTTTTAACAGTTCACCTCTTTGCATATTCAGAACTTCACTGATTTTTAAAGCTGCTAAAAGCCAAATTCTCCCTTTGGCTCACAGTAAGAGTTCTTCTATAATTTTCTTCTAATAGCCCTGGATGAACGTTAGCAGCTGTTTGTGTATAATAATTCATATAATGTGGTATTTGTGATGTACATCCTTCCTGCAGAGTCCATCTGGCAGGACTGGTCTCTTAATAAGTATCCCAAGATCTATCTTTATTGTCCAGAATGTTGTTACACAGCTGTCTCTCCCTGATAATACCTATCCCTATGTTTATATCATGTTATATTCACCTCACACAATTTTGGAGCAAGCTGAGAAACTATAAAATAACTGCAGCACTTACGCAGATACCAGCTGCTGTCGGGAAACAGAGCGATAACATGTTTTGGAACTGTTTTTCACGCTAGAAAAGCTTGTTCCAGCCCCAGAGCAGCTTCACTAATTTCAATACTTACACTTCCAGACCACTGGTGTTTTTACTACCAGCACGGATTAACTTATAGATTACTACAGCTGGGAAAGTAGGACTTTGCAAATGTAGATGCCTACTGTGGCAGTCATTTTAAACTTCAGTTTGGTTTTCAAAAAAAATCCTTTTATTCTACCAACTCCTGACTTCATCTACACTATATAATAGCACTCTAGCATTTGGTATGGATATAGTTTTGTGTGTGAATCAGCTTTAGAATCACATGCAGTGTAATTGCTTAGGGACAAGCCACATTAACACAGTCTTAAAAGTTCTGCTTATGAAGTATTCAAACTTGGGGTTTTACTTCTTTGTAAAGATTGCAATCTCCAAGGCTCTCAGTTTGGCATTTCTTGGGTACAGCTATTTCAATTAGAAACTGTTATAACAGGTTAGGAAGAGGAATCCCAGGTACCAGGACTTCTGTTTTGTAAAAATAGCAATACAGGCAGTCTTAATTGTTGCAAATTGAATTCCAGCTGTTTCTTCTACTTATCTTAGTATTAGTTTCAGGTCCTAAAATGAAGTGGGTTCACACTTGGAGGGGATGGTGATGGGAAGTTCTTTGGTAGTTTTAATCTGTTTAAATCAGCATGTGTGCAACATATTTCTCAGATAAGATCTTGTGATAAATATTAATCTACGCTTGGGAAATCAAGAGGTTAAAGAACCAACTCACTAAAAAACCTCTTTTTCCTGTGTTGCTCTGCTTTGTGGGTGCCTGAAGCTGCCACAGTTTCACAACTTAATTTGACCAGCATCCTGAAGACTGTTCAGATGATGCCATATACTCTCAGGATATATAAGTACAGAACCACACCAGTTGGCACCTATTACCAAATGCAAAAGAAACAGGAAGTACAAAGATAAGGTTTTCTCTTCACAGAAAAAAGGCTACATATGAAGCACATGAAGATACAATCAAAGCTCCTAAGAAGGAAGTTAAGCTGAACGTTTCCTAAAGCTGAAAGCAAATAGCCCATAAGGAATGCAGATACCTTTCAGGATGAACACAAATGAGTAGTATTCTGCCACCCACTATCTCTTGTCAACAACTTTTTATAAAAATACCAAAGTTGTTGTGGGTTCTCCTGGCTCAATACTCTGTCAGAACTAATTTCTATACTTTCTTGGAAAGAAAGATGGAGAAAGCAGCTGCAGGGGAAAAAAAAAGCTGCAATAAACTTATCTAGTAATCTAAATTATGCTTATTTTAAAATAATAGTAATATTTACAACTGATAATGCCCAAATAGTGAGGCAAGCCAAACAAAGTGTCTGTTTGTTTAGTTTAGCTATATGTTTGTTCTACAAAGGTATCAGTTTAACTCTTGATTCAAGGAAGGTGAAAGTTCTTGCCACAGTGTGGCAGGAACTTCCCAATTAAAATCATATTTAATCTGTAATCTGATGACAGATTGATAATTGGCAGGATTAGAGACTCTTTCTGAGAACCAGGATGCAAAACTAGCTTGCTTCAGATGGGTCGGCCTTTTTATTTGGAGGTTGCTCCCCCCCCCCAAGAAAATAAAAATCAAAATCTTTTTAGCAAAACAATAGAAGAGGTTACAGAAGACTTGTGGACAGCAGAAGTTGTTTCCAACTCAGTTGGAGAATTTTAACCTAAAAAGGCTTCTGGAAACGTTACCAAAAAAAGGTACTTTCCCCACTCGGGACTGATTTCTATGTAAGCACTCTTTCTTGTTTAAAATCAAAATTGTCAGAGCTCTGTTTCTGCCACTTCCCACTCTAATTTTTCAGGAAGAGCAAATCTATTTATAATTTCATATCTATTTAAAGTAGTAGCTGCCCTTGTGACATTAGGCACCCACAGCCATGCAGGACAGCAAGCTCCACTGGATGCCATGTTTCCTGTTTAGCATGGGTTTCTGAGAAGAGCCAATACTTTTGGTATCAGTGAGAAAACCTAAATTAGAGCAAGTCTACTTAGTCAGCTTCATTTTTGCTATCTAATAATGGGTTGATATTTTTTATTTGTGTTTCAAAGGCTTGCCTTTGTGTTTTGAGGTGATGCCTAAAAGTCATCATCATTGCTTGATCTGCAGATGACATCCAGGTAATCCTTGAGCAAAGCCTGAGTCCTTATTTATTCCTCTGCCTCCTTCACTGGAGCTCATGCCTGAAATATAGCAGCTACACTGGTTTTGGAGATGTTTTACCCTCTGCTCACAGCTGACAGCTCTGCTGGTGAAAGTGTAAGTCTAGACCTAACGTAAATCTTTCAGTGATGTAACGTGACCAATGTTTATGAATGCAGCATTGGAAATTACAGTTCTGTGCCTTGGCCAATGTAACTTTTTTTTCACTTTTTTTTACTCTCAGAATTATTCAGAGGAACTGGAACATCACAAAGCTCAGGAAGGACCGAAACATTTAATCCACCGCAGTCGCTCATACTGTGCTATCAGCAGCAAGAAGGTGCAACCAGGTTATAGTGGTCACTGAAGCTCCAGAGAATGCTTCACATAACAACAGCCAGACTATGGTAACAGAGGATGGTATCTTCTGGATTAAAAAAAGGAATTAACGTAATACAGGTGTATGAGAAAAGTTTCAAGCATTCTGTCTGCCACTGACTTTAAACTTTTTTCTACATTTCTTTGCTTTAGAGCTCTTATTGTGTGCTACTTTTTCTGCCAAATTATAATTATTTTAAATTGTGCTCTCAAGACATAACAAAATCCCAAAGGTAATTTTGCATAAACATCAACAGTGGTATGTAGTGGATTATACAACAGTAATGCATCTAACAAGTCATATGCCTAAACCCAAGTTTCAGGACAAAGGAGAAGAGCAGCAAGCTAAAAGTGAGTAGGGCAACAGAAGGTCTGATATTGACTGTTATACATCTCTATACCACAACATAGCTACAAATACAACAGACGTCCACTATATGGTAGATTTCTACTGTATTTACACTGAAACACATTCATTCTTATACCAGCTTTCTAAATAATCAGCTCGTCACTTCATTAGCAATTCCTAAAGACTCATGCAATGACTTCTCTTTGCTGTGTATCCGCAACCAAGGGTACCAGGCACACATACAAGTAGGGTTTATTTTCCTACCCCAGAAGTATTATGAACCTAAATGCAGCATGGAAGTAAATTGACCAGTTATGCCTCTTGTCCAGACCACTCTGAACAAACTGGAAACTAAGGAAAATCACTCATTCAGTCTGTCAGAGGCTTTCAAAGTAATTATTAACTCAAATCTAAAAAATCTAAAATTTGCTGCAATTAAGTTAGCTGCCTCAGAATCTAACATGAAGCACAATCATGTGCTCTTAAACATCCAGAGCTGTGGGCAAATAAGAGATCCTAGATATAATATTATTATTTTTTACGGAAATGTTAAGAAACTTCTAAGCATCTTTTTCTTGGGATGTCTTTGTTGGATCAGAAAATGTTCCAACTTAGGATCCATTATTACTGAGGTACTTTACAATCTATACAACATATTGTGATGCTTAAGAACAGGTTTCTTTAATTGAGGAATTTGGCAGTAATTTGAATGAGGCAGTAGGTAAAAAATTGCTGTGATTCTATTGGAAAGAGAGCTCCCTTGCAGCCATGAGAGCAAATCACCATGGAAACTTTTTGCTAAGATGATATTAAAGCACAGCACGTACACTTACATCTCTCCTTTTGTAATAAGCAGTATTTTGTGATACAGTCTGGAGTGACTGAGTAAAAGGGCTATTTGCACAGCAAGAGACCAGGACTTACTCAGGACTACTGCAGAATTTTGCTATGCTCCGGAGCTGGCCAGTTGACAGTATATCTTGTTACAGAAGAAAAGTATTAGGAGATGAATGGATCTTATCCAACCAACTTGGTAAAGTCAAGTTGATAAACACACAGGAAAAATAGGTTTGTGAACTGGCCTCAAACTATTTTATCACCATGAGAAGCTAACTAAGTGTTTTCATGTTGTCATAGAATGATCTGTTTTTCCAATCAGGATAAACCAAGCTCATACACTCCACTGAAGTTGTAGTATCTTCTTACCTTCCCTCATGTAAACACCAAGTCTGGTATTTAATAGGAGAGCATCGCCTCTCCAGGGTGATCTTGTGCCTCTGGCTTTCACAATACAAGTATGTCTCCTCAGACTCTGCACTGGGATTTGATTACCCTCTGCATAAAGTCATACATGTGTTTACAAATATATCACGTTAGGACCCAAATCAAGAAATCTTATTCTTCTGTGTTAAGGCCAAAATTTGAGACATCATTCACACCACTTTGATCACTCTCAATTCACAGAAGAGCTGTGCACAAAACCACAGGAGCACACAGGAAGACATACGCTGTCTTGAATCTGATGATACAAGTCATAACACGTTCCTTATTCTCTACAGAATACTAATCAAGTCTCAGCAAGCATCCTGTTTTGAGGTTTATTATGGTTTTGGCATCTTCTTGTCTTAGTTTTATATGTATCGGCCAACACTGCATGCCCAAGAGTCCTCTCTTTCTGTAGCTTTATCCCAACATAATTTCTATTAGAGCCAAAATCATAATTTGTTGGTCATAAATGAAAAACAGACTTTGTTAAACAACTCTACCTGCCTTATCAAAAATTAAATTGCAGAAAAAAGTCAGCAAACAGTGTGGATACAATGCTTTTGGCTGTTTAGATGGAGCTGGTTTATTTTTATTATAAATTTTAGGTAAGGTAAAATTAATTTGTAGGGTATTTATAACCAGCTACCTGTCCAGTAAGGATGACATGAAAAAGTCATGTGAGGACTTAGGGCCAGACTGAGATACATAAGTTGAATTGCGGAGATTTCAGATATTTCATTGCTTGTTTTCAACTAGCTCATTACTCAGCCTAAAGGGCTTTTCAGCCCAAATCAGCCTTTTGAAGAGCACAGTATACTAAGGCAGCTGCTGAAGCCAAAGCCACAAGCTGGATCTCTATTTGTTTGTTTTTTTTTAAATGGATCTGAATCTGAGATGTAACCCACATTCCCAGAGAGAGAGAGAGATATGTGACAGTAAGGTTCTTGCTTGTTGTTATGCTTGAGTGCCCTTCTTCCACTCAAAAGTCAAAAGGCTTGGAGAGCTAATGCACAGGTATCAGAAAGTTGAACCATGACTATCAAAACAGTGAGAGTGGTTTACAGCATACCTGATATTTAGTGTAATTAGGAGCTGAAGCACCTATTAGCAATCGGAAAATGGACAAATTAGTTTGTACCTACACAAGATGAAAATGTTACCATTTAAACACTACCATCTAATGTTTAGGGGTTTTTTCCCCCTACACTTATTCCTAGGGCTGACAATCTCCTACTCTTCTTACAGTGGGATTGCAAAGTTATCTCTAGTGGTCCAGTACTGTCCTCTCTCAACAAGACACCTCTGATGCCTGTTTAGTCAGAGACTCAGCATGTGAGTCCAGTTCTTTTATCTAACCAAAAGAGTTTAGACAAAGGCAACAGCATCTGCCTTCCAGTTCAGTCTTGATCTAGGTGATGTCTGTCAGACTTCTACTTTTTTTCCCCTCCCACAGAGAATATTCAATTTCCTTTTCCTACATCCTCTCACTCATGTTTAAATGAGTACTTAGTAAACTGACTTGACCTTCTCCTCCTACTTGGACTAATGAATAGGTCTTATGGCAAGTATTTTGTCTTGGCATGGTCAGTTCCCTTCTGACTGTATTTGGACCAGGAATTCTTTAGGACAGGATATTTCTCCTTGTCAGGAAGAATTTGAGAAGTGGCACAAAATGGGAAAGAGAAGAAGGAATCTTTACCTTTTTGGAAATTTTAAATGCCATGGTAAACACATTTCAACATAAGTTTTCAGCACAGCATGGAAATTAACACTGAAAATTATTTCTTCCTGAGTAAGACCAGCCAGGAATACTCCCACACCAGCCAGCCTCCATTTGAAGTCAGATTTGCAGCATCTCAGTTCCCTGATGAAAGCAAGCTGAGTTCTCACACATAGTTAACCGGATGTCTCCTTCACCAGGTGACTGCCACTTCCCCTCCAGAATACTCACCTTTCCTCCCACTCTCCCAATTATAACACTCTCACTGAACTGGAGCGTCCTTTCTTGTAAGAATTTAGGCAATTTTTATTAATTTCTTTTTTTTACAAATCTAAACAATCCTATGATCTATCCCTCCTCACTGCCAGAATTGTGCATCCTCTGCCTGTTTTCTGCTTACTGTGCCATGTGATCTTTCCAATCTGCAAAGCTGTGTTTGTTCTGCAGGTGACACATACAAGCAATTCTCAAATTCTCGTGTGCATTGGCTCAAATCCCCTGCAGCAGAAACCACACATGGTGCAGTTTTTATTATTTTGCCCAAACCCGCTAAAAGACAAAAAATAGATGCTCTCATTTGCTGTGATTGCTACATGAGCTTCTTAAATAATTCTTTCTGGTATGACTGCCCACTAAAGAGAAGTGAAAAAAACTCCAACCAAAATACAAAACCCCCAAACATCTAAAAGATAGAGATAGCCATGGAAATCACTTGCAATAGCCTTCTCTAAAATGTTACATGTAGTTATATGAATAGTATTATAAGAAGTAACCTTACTGTGGTAACATATTGTCACAAAAGGAAAAGCAAACATTAAAGTTTCAATTTAAGGGCGTATGCTTGCATGAGGCTGAGAGGAAAGCAATATCAGGTAGAGTTATTAAGTTATTACTGGACTGACTATATGTTTGAGGGAAAGAAAGGCCATGGGCCGCCACGGGAGCTGCCCGAAGGCAGCGAAGGAAGCGAAATGCCAGTAGATGGCACTCGGACTGCAGCACAGCCCAGGAGCACGCATAGTCCCGGCAGACACGGGCAAACAGACAAAGGATTTGGGGAACTGGAAGACTTAATGGTGTCTGAGGTACACTGCCACAGCACGCAAGGCAGTCAGGCCATAGAAGAAGAAGAGAAGCTGCAGGTGGTATCCAGGTAGCTGCTCCAGCCATGGTGACCTGCTCACGACAAGGAGGAATAAATTTTTCTGCTGCAGCTTAGACATCTTTCACTCCCTGGCCACTTTCCACCTCACCCCATAACTATCCCCAAAGCTATGGGGGGAATAAGGAGTCTAGCTTCAGAACAGTTTTAAACAAGGGTATAATCAGAGCAGGCTAAGGAAGGCAGCACTGTCCTCTCCCAAAAAGAGCTTCGAACCATGTCACAAGGCAGTTACTGAACCTTGTGGTCCATGCCAAATGTTCACCTTGCATCCGCAGCAAGTGCAACGCTGCCCTCAGCGTGGGTGTCATTTGGCTGCTGTCTCTGCTCATTGCCATCCCTGTGGCCCAATTCCAGGCTCTCATGAGTGGTCATCAGCAAGCACCCAACAGCTCTTTCTGCTGGGAACACTGGGCAAATGGTTCAACAGCCAAGCAGATGTACAAGGTTACCATCCTGGCAGTGGGATACCTCCTGCCCCTGGTGCTCATCACCTGCTGCTATGCTAAGGTGGGTGTGAGGGATGAGAATTGTATTTAAATGGAGGAACAATTCCAGACTCTTGGTGTCTTGTATGTGTACACTGAAGTTACTCAGCCAAATAGCAGATCCAACCTTTTCCATATTCTCTCCTGGTATACAATACTTTCCTGAGGCAGGGAGAAGGAAGGAAAGCAGAATGAAATTCCACCAGTTCACAAAGGGATTACAACTATTAAGATGACACCCAGCCTGACACTCAAACCCCCTAAAGACTCTTGCTGTTTCTCCTACTCTTAATTTTGTTCTTTCTAAATAATAAATGTTTGGTTTTGGCAAGAAGAAAAACCTATGGATGGATAAACTATGCAGAGAATACTCAGGAACAGTTTTAGATAAAGACATCACCCTGATTTCTCTCCTTTCTCTCTCTCCCCTTTTTTCTTTTTCTTTTTTTTTTTTTTTTTATTTTTGGTGGCACAAAGCTCAGACATTGTGTCTTGCAAAGAGTTGCAAAAAGAGATCTTAGGATCCGAGTTCTGAGTTTTATTCAGCAAGAAATGTTTTCTTTTTTACTTGTGTTTTGCTATATTTTTGGTTTCCCCTTACTGATCTTTGGCATGTTGAAGACTGATAGTAAGTCTATGAGTTGTGCTAGTATGCCAAATAAATTTTCTGTGAATTTTGAATTAATCTTGATTTAATTAACTGCCACAAGACTACTAGACATTGAATTTCCTTGTCACTAGTCAGTTGCAGGTCTACCCTATAGGGAAAAAGGTTTACCTGGGATTTAAGTTCAAGTCTGTTCAATCAAAAAGTACATTACTTTCAATATTAATCTGCTTGGCTATCATCAGTGCTATGGATAGGACAGTGTTGGAAAGTAATGTTTACAAAAGGTTTTGTTGGTAAATATAGTATATTCTATCTACCCATGGATTTTTACTGGCCACTTTAGCATATATATGCCTAAAGATTTTTTGGTTGGTTGGTTGGTTGGTTTGGTTTGGTTTTTTTTTCTTTTTTCGACAAACTGTTGTGATCAACAGTGCCCTAGCAACACTTTAGGGCATTTGTACCAAGTTCAAGCTTACTGTTTGTAAATATATAAAGTGCATATTACTTCAAAATTAGGAAGCATATGGCTGAAAGAACTTTATTATTTCACTGTGTTGTCTAATTTGTTAATTCTGTATGCTGCAATCTAGACTGACTTGTTCATAGATTGTAAAAAAAGTGTGTTACAGAAGTTAAATGACAAATTATGCATCTAAAAACATAACAGAAATATCCAAATATCTCCAGTATCTTTTCTTACGGCCATCAGAACACATACAAATAATTTTTTAACATGTTTCTTGAATACAGATTTTCAGCAGTTCAGGGGACCTAATGCAATTTAAGATGCATATTACAAATGGAAATAGGATCTTCTGTAAAATATAATACTAGATTGTCCCCAGAGATTTACCCTACTCCTATACATGAACAGGAAGCTTCAGTTTGTGGACACATAAATTGCCTGATTTGTAGTTAATTGAACTACAGATGAGAGGCAAGTAGTGCTTGGAATGAACAGGTCCAAAATATAAAGGTTTCCAGTCTCCAAAGGGATAACTCTTTCACTGTATTTCTAAAAATTGGAAGTTATTGTATTATATAATTTTACTGATTTGTAACTTCCTCTGAGAGCCCCTTAACTGTGCAAAATGAGCAGAGCACACATGTACAATAAAGGAAAAGGTCCTGCAGCCTGATCCTTAGGTGATTACCTGAGCAAGTTTTCTCTTTGTTCAGCTTTTACTCTTAGTATACTTATCTCCAGACTGTTATTTTCTCAGAAACCAATTGTTTAGATACTACGCTTGATGATCCTTTTATTTACCAGGCTTGCTATTTCTAAATTTGAGTCTTAGCACAGGCTAAAGTTGATAGTATGGGAAAAACAGCCACTAAAAGAAAGGGCTGTGATACATCACTGCAACAGAAATCAGAGCTAAAATGCTATTTTGTGTGATTATTTACCATGGATACAAACTAGCAAGTAGATATGAAATAACTTCAGCCTCACTTCAATCCTCTTGGTTTAAAGCAAAATAGAGCAATGGCACAACATTCAAAAGGAATCTTGCACTCACTCTGTTACTTGTGAGTCACTAGAACTTGAATCAATGCACTCCTTTAAGAGAAGACATTTTTGTGTGTTGGGGTTAGAGGTTTTTTGTTTGTTTGTTTTTTTACAGGTAGTTCAGGCACTAGACTTGTTGCATGCAGAAAAAATGAGGAGGAAACACTTAAGGGCTTTTAAAATTTTATTTAATATAACATGATGGAGCAAGATCCCCTTTCTCAGTGAAAGGCAACCATAAAATGGCTAATTAAGGCCTTGAAAGAGCCTCAAGCTTTATTGTGCCTTCTCATTCCTGCTGAACTTTAAAGGTATCTGGTCTAGAATTCTCTGAACGAACTGCTACACCACAAGAAAATCAAACATCACTTGTCCTTTAGTCTTTCTACGTGTATCTATGACAGGTCAAAGTTATATCCATTTTTTTTCCTGCCACAGTAGTAATTTTTAAGTTTTAATAATGAACGTTTAGCTGCTAGTGGTGGGCAGCAATGAAATGTAACAGAGCTGCATATCATACAGGCATACTTTCATTCTGATTTGAATTTAAGTTGTAAGTCTCAACAAAATCAAATCAGTTGATGAGGTCATTCTTCAGTCTTCTCCAAAAGCATTCTGTTACTCACTAGCTTCCTTTTGCAAAGCCGTGTGTTGAGTATGGAAATGACTACTGCAGCTTCCGGAACAGTACACAAAGTTAACCTGAACACCTGGCTCTGAAACTCAATTCTCAATTCTCTCAGTCTACTTTACAAACAGCAGCTCAATCACTCTGTCTTAAGGACTTCAAGGGGAGTCCCTACCAGGCCACCTAGTACTGCCCAGCAACTTGAATCAGCCTCCTTTAGGTGAAGGTTTATTAATGGAGGAGTCCATTCCCGGGAGGCCTGTCCTTTTCCGGGCTGCAGTCTCTATTTTCCGTACCAGGTCCACATCCCACCGATGGGTGACAAAACTAACCACAGCTCCAGGTGCCTTGCTTCCAACTCGTCCAACTCTCCCCACACGGTGCAGGTAGTCCTGCAGGGTGTCTGGGAAGTCATAGTTGACCACGAGCTGCACGCTGCTGGTGTCCAGACCCCGCGAGGCAAGGTCAGTGCAGACAAGGACAGACACATCACCCCTCTGGAAAGAGGCAAAGATGCCAGCTCTAGCAGCTGCTGACATCTGTCCCTGCAGCCTCAGATGCCTGATTCTGTGGTCATCCAGGATATAGCCCAGCCAGTTGACAGTGCTGGCACTGTTGCAGAAGATGAGAACAGCCCTGCCACATGATGGGTGCTCCTTTAACAGCTGCAGCAGCTCGGGCAGCTTGTCCCGGCCTTTGAGGCGGACGAACTTCTGCTGGACGTGAGGCGGCAGGCGGTGCAGGCTCTGGGTGGTGAGGGTGACAAACCTGCTCACGTCTGTGAACTTCGCCAGTGTCTCGCTGAGCCCCGCAGGGAAGGTGGCTCCGACCACCACCACCTGGGTCCTCTCCTCCGCCGGTCCGGACGGCCTGGGGGC